TAAGAAACCAACCGATTGTCCACTTCGATTCCTGAAGAGCCAATTAACGTTGGCAGAACAAGATCAACTTTTGAATACATGGCACCACCAAACTAGCATCTGATCTTATGGTTAACAAAAAGACAAGACAACAAAAATGAAAAATAGGAAAAGCAGCCACCAGCGTGGGTCAGAATAGGGCCCACAAGAAGAATGGGATAACCATGACCCAGAGGAGCAGCTTGTGAGTCACATCTACGGTTGATGGTTAGATTGCCTGTTTCACTATTTTCTTCACAAGCGTTGTCGATTACGAGAATAATCGAAGATAAAATGATATGATGCGAGAAATTCATCAATCTAATTTATCGTTTCCACCGGCAGGTCTTCGAATTGTCGTCCATGCCAATTAGCCTACGGGGAGTAGTTTTCATCACATGTAATTTTTCTTATAATTACATGCTAAAAATATGTTTAATATTACTGCATTATTGAAATTAAGAAAAAAAAATTGTTCTTTTTAAAGTAAAATAATCAATATATTATTTTTTATTATGGAAAAATGAGGTCCAAGTAAAACTCGAAAAATGCACTAATTTTGTAATTTATTGCATTTTATTCTTAATTTTTTTATAAATAAACTCTAAAATAATACTTAAATATTAATTATATCCCATAATTAAAATTGAAAAAAAGAAAACTATGCGATTGCAACAATTTAGAAAGTGCAAGATATTTTTGTACCTAAAATTAACTGCATATGATGCAATTACAATAATATGCATAAATAGTATTTTTACATCCTAAAAATAATTAACCAGCAAAATTCATAACTTATTACTTTTCGCTTGATGAATTCAACAGTATTGTTTTGAATTTTACGTCTTAAGTTAAAACTATCCTTATTCAGCGAAATTAGCTATTTTGATAATTGTTTTAGTAGCGTTAAATTGAATGTTATATGATTTAATTTTTTATAAAATGCTATCTAAATATGTAAAAGCTAGTTTAAATGCTATATTACCGAACATTATAAAAAATAGCTGTAACACCCGCAGCCCAATCCCGAAAGACCCGACGGTGGATGCCACATTCGGTGCCGGAGGCACCTTCCTAACCGACATATAAATCATACAACCATATTAACTTATTACTTTTCGCTTGATGAATTTCAACATTATTCTTTTTGAATTTTTTACGTCCTTAAGTTAATAAACTATCCTATTCAGCGAAATTTAAGCTTATTTTTGATAAGTTTTAGTAGCCGTTAAATTCTGATAATGTTATTGATTTAAATTTTTTTATAAAATGCTATCTAAATATGATAAAGCTAATTGTTTAAAGCTATCCTCACCGAACTTTATAAAAAAAATAGCTGTAACACCCGGCAGGCCCAATCCCGATAAGAACCCGACGGTGGACCTGGATTGCCACTATTTCGGTGCCGGTAGGCACCCTTCCTAACCGACATTAATATCATTACAACCATATTATGAATTAGAAGTTGACTTGAGTTATTCACCAAGTTTAGCACATAAGTAATTAATATTTTGTTTGGAAAGATGATTTGGAGAGTCCTACAGAAAAACTGGCTAACGAGTTTTCCCTAAAAATAAAAGTTGGCCTCATTGAATACAAAGCACTCCCAAATTCAAACTCCAAACCCCATCAAACTCAATAAACAACACAATAGCACTTTCTAATAATTCAATAACTACATAATTTCTCAATTAACATTTTAAATTATTCGTCACTTAAATACATTCATTACTATTTACATAATATAATATTTTTCTTATTTCCAAAACATTAAAATAAAATAATACCATATTACTGATTCGAAAATTTTTTGCGGCGTTACGATAGTTTTAACGTTTTTAATAAAGCTACTTAATTTCCTCAATAACATTTTAATATTCGTCACTTAAATACATTCATTATATACATATATATAATATTTTATATCCAAACATTAAATAAAATAATACCATATAAGATTCGAAAATTTTTGGGGCGTTACGATAGCGTTTAACGTTTTAATAAAGCTACTTAAAAAGTTGTTGCTGAATATAGCCTAAATGGAATCAATAATCATCGCATCACAATCATTAACTAAAGAGCCAAAATAAGATATAAGGTTTGTTCGGCAAAATTATTAATTGTTTTAACAGTGTTTAGTTGTTAGTTATTTTAGTGGTTTTTTGTGAAACGCTAAAAGTTAAACATTACATGAGTTAACTTTTCACAAAACATTACCTTAACATTTAAAAGTTAGTTTAAACGCTGTGTTACTGAATACTATGAAAAATAACAGTTGAGTTAACTTTTCACAAAATATTACCTTAACATTTAAAAGTTAGTTCAAATGCTATATTACCAAATATTATAAAAGTAGCATTTAGTATTTTGACCAAAACTATATAAAAAACTAAAAAATTATTATCGAATACAACCATATTTGGAATGTTACCATTCACGGTCTACACCAATAATATATAATCAATCTCAACCTCAAAAATGGAAATGGAAGTTAAAACCCATATATATCACGTCATCAAATAAATACATTTAAAATTGAATAAAAAAATCTATATAAAAATAAATAAAGATACATTTTTTAAGATTATGTAATCAGGATTACAAACCTTCTTTGAATAGAAGGAAAAAAAAAAAAGTTTAAAAAGCATAATTATGAAAACTTTTTAGGGTAATAATGAGAAAATAAAAAGGGAGAATTAGAACGTTAGCTGAATGTCTTAGTCATTTGAATGTATTAGATACATATAAAAAAATTTAAAAATCTATAAAAAAAATGAAAAGACATAAAGATTGACTAATTATTAAATAAATCTTACCCAATAAGAAAGTTCAAAGTGGAAATGAATGACCGCAAGTAAATGATACACCCAAATTAGTCAACTAACCGAGCCGCCTATGATGAAAACATAGCTTTGTGACAAAATTTTTTTATAACCTCGGGTTCCTTAGCGTGGCATACCAACCAAGCACCCCATGGCCCCATGATGATACCAAATTAGTGGTCACAACATGTCCCTAAACATAACTTGGAAGGAACATTATTGAATCAATGCAAATCTCCAAGATGTTTAAATTTCATTATCAAGACACATTATGAAATTGAAAATTTCTACCTCTCCTAAAATGGTAAATTGAGGTTATGATAAAATTATAATTATGAGAAGAGCAGCATATATTTGTTAGGTGTTGAGGTTGGAGTCAAGATTTATTTCAATTTATTTGGTTGATTTGATTATTTTTGATACTTCGATTAATTATGTCTGATTTTTCAATGCAATCGGCGAAGTTGATATTTTCAGAATCTATTTGGATAAATTAATTTTGATTTAGCTCATTATTTAAAAAAGATGATAAATTGATTTAATTGAGAGATAAAATTTTGTAAAAAAATCAGAAAGCAAGAGACTATAATTTTCTTCTTACATTATAATAGTTCAACTAAAAAATGCTAGCATTTGAATGTAAAATGGTTAAAAACTTTTAGCTAGACTGCTCAGCACCTAGCCAAAATGTGTTTTTCAAGTTAATTCGAGTTTTGGGTTTGGACCTATTAATGATAAAAAGTTAATACTAACAAATTATTTAACTAGCTTTCTACCTTTATATGCTTTTTATGGATATGATATTTATTCGATATAGAATTTTTAATAAGATTTTTTTGACTATTTTTAGATGGTCAATTATATCAAAATGAATTATCGATTTTGCTATTGTAGCAAAAGAGATAAAGTGGAAGAAGCTGATGATTAAATTGAATTTTGTTGGAGATAGGTGAGATAGTGGCACCGAAGGAAGGAGATAAGACAATACTTTGGTTTTCCTTCTATTCTATTAAGGACAGTTATAAAAAGGAAAAAAAGAAAAAAAAAGCTGAAAATTTCGCTTTCTATTTTTCATTCCCAAACTTGAGAGAATGAATCCTAATTTGGTGTTAATCAAATTAATCTCAATAAAGGCCAAAACGATTATTTCTTGTTGAATGTTCATGTGAATCAACGAGCTAGGCTATTGTTTCTCCATGTGAAATGATGATTTAGCAAGTAAATGGGTCTCATTTCATCTCTTTTCAGTAATTTGGCGAGCCAAATTAGTTTCCTTCGTTCAGATGCTAAAATAAAAAAAGTTGAAAAATTTACAAACTGATAATATAATTCACGGGGAAACAATTTATTTAGGAGAAATAATTCAACTTACTGAATTAATTTTATTCTGGTAAACCTTTTAATGAAATTATTTAGTTTAAATAGCATTCCATGTAATTGAATTATTAGTTTACAAATGACGTGAAAGATAGTTCATTTTAAGAATTTCTCCGTTGAATCAGGCTTTTACATAAAAAGGTTTGAACGGCTCTTCCGAACTCGTGCAAATCTAGAGGTTAGCAACTGGTCGGTTCAGTTTGAAGCGAATCAAGACAAAAAATGCAAACCGAAAATTTTTTTACGACAGGCCAAATTGAAATCGATGTTTGAACCAATTGACTCGAACTGAACTAATTGGTTCCGCCGACTTTAGTTGGTTTTTGTTCAGGATCATATGATCTTTTTCTATCAGATAGGAAGGGCTGTTGCACAGTTTGATTTAAATTAACTGATAAATTTCTATGAAATTTAAATTGAAAAATAAATTTAATTCAAACCGAATAAAATGATAAATCGAATCTCGCTTAAGTAGTTGATGAAATTAAAATAAGTTGGTTTGGTGGTTTTGCACACACCTGCGCCTATCCTAAAGTTGGTTGAATTTAACAAATTAAATAATTTGGTGAGACCAGCCAATCAATTGTCTATTGTCTCGTCTAAAAAGGATTAAACGCCATATTCCAAATTCCCTGCAAGCCAAAGGGCCAAGGCAATAACCAATCAAATTATTAAATAGCTTCAAAAGCTCTCGACTTCTCGTGATAAAATAACGAAAAATTGAAAATTATTATTATTATAATTTTAATAGTAATATTCTGACGAATTTACAAATGTCTTTAGCCCAAGGAAAGCAGGTTCCCCAGGCATTGCCACCTCCACCTTCTCTTCTTCCCTACTCCATTACAGATGTCTGGTCCTTTCACTTCACAAACAAAGCAATAACTGTCAAGAGTTCCTCAGTCTCTCTCTCTCTGTCTTTCTCTTAATCTCTAGGCCTTGCAGAGTTTTGAGAGGAAAGTGAAGAGAAGGAGATAACTGTAGACGATCAGATATGGGGAATTCTCGGCGCCAGTTGAAGGCCATGCTTCGCAAAAATTGGCTTCTCAAAATTCGTCATCCTTTTGTTACTGCTGCGGAGGTCTTTTTTCTATCCATTTATTATTATAATTTAATACAGTTATGGTGTAATTTCAAATCCTTGACCACCAAAGTTTCATTCTCTAGTTTCTTGAATTTTGGTCTCTGTTTCAGCTTTTAATTTCTCACTTGAATATTGATTTTTCATTTCTTTTGTTTAATTGGTTTGTATCTGTAGGCTTTTTGTTGATAATAAGTTTCCTTTCTTAAAGGTTCTGTTATTAGCAATGGATGAATTTGCTTTCCTTTTGCTTGTTGAATTGACTATTGAAGGATGAGCAAGAAAATAATGAAGTTTCTTTGTTTTTTTCAGATTTTGCTTCCTACGATTGTCATGTTACTGTTGATAGCTGTAAGGACACGAGTTGATACACAAATTCACCCTGCTCAACCGTAAGTCACCATTGCTCTTCACCAAGTCGAAGTCAATATTGGCTTATTAAATAGACTGATATTTGTGAAGAAATCCAAATGGTTTCATGATTGCTTCCTTGTAATTAGATGTTTATGACATTGCGGGAGGTAAATGACACTGTGGTTTTATTGGTTTATTCTCCAGGTATATACGGGAAGATATGTTTGTGGAAATAGGGAAAGGAATATCCCCGAATTTTCAACAAGTTCTAGAAGTATTGTTGGCAGAGGGAGAGGTTTTGGCTTTTGCACCAGATACAGAACAAACTAGGATGATGATCAACCTCATGTCGATGAAGTTTCCTTTAATTAAGGTACCTATTGATCATCTTTTTCTGAGATTCAAGTTTTTTATACTTTTTAATCCTGGTTTGTCTATTGTCTACATTGCTTTAACTCCTTTTGATATGAATATGTGTGTTCAATTTTATGCTTGTGATATAACTTTCTATTCTTTGTTCTCTAGTCTAGTTTTAAGCTTATAACTTCTTCTGTTGCCCATCAATTATGAGATTTGTCAAACTTAATGTAGCATGACTTAAATTAGACCCGTTTGATCTAGAAATATCTTGTACATTGATACATTATTCAGATAGGGATCTTATATGGAGAGTATTTCTTGCTCTGTTTAATATATTGATAAAAAACTAAAGTATGAGGTTGTCATTTGCAAAATTTTCGTATTTTAAGGAAAAAAAAGTATGAAAGTTGAATAGGGGATTTAAAACATTCTAAATTTCACACTGATAAATGAAGGTGATTTTGTTGATGAGTTACTTGAAAAGAAGTTGTGCATATGTGGCAATGTAGTTTTTAGCATTGTTTTATTGTGTTTGTAAATCATGTATGATCATTTCATTTTTCCGGGGAATATGCGATTTGATTGAAGATTCACTTAAAGTGATGTTAATATAATATTTGGTAATGGGTGTTACATATTGGTTTTTTCAATTTCCATTTAGGGAAGGAACAAGAAAAGGAAAATTTTATCAATTGTAAGCTTTTATATGGTCGGAGAGTTAGTATCAGATATAAGTAGTAAGGATGAGGAAGAATTAGAGCATTAAGGGGGTCTATTTGTCATGATCGTTACAGCTTTTTTCGAGAAAAACATTTGTCTACAATATTTTAATTAGGAGATTGATAATTATTTTAAGATGATTTTCAGATGTTTTAGTCATAATGACCCCAAAACTGTTAATAAGTTTACAGCTGTTTTAACATCATCTGAAATTATGCATTGTTGTTGTCATCTTTATATTAGTTAGGACAAATCCTAATTCTATACTGAAAAATATTCCTAATTAGCTTAGACTCCTAGACTGAATAGTATTCCTATTTAGCTAAATCCTATTTTTTACAGCTGTTTTAACAATCATCTGAAATTATGCTTTTGTTGTTCATCTTATATAGTTAGGACATAATCCTTAATTCTTCTATACTTGAAAAATTTTTTCCCATTATTTAGTTCCTCTTATCCTGCAATAGTATTCCTATTTTAGCTATAATTCTCCACAAGAAGGACCCACTTAAACTCTACTTCTTGACTTATATTCACATTCTTTTAAATCTCCAAATGTAAACTTTTAAAGTTCTCTCTTTAATTAGTCTTGGATGCTCCTTGCTTTCTATACTGAAAAATATTCCTAATTAGCTTAGACTCCTAGACTGAATAGTATTCCTATTTAGCTAAATCCTAAATAAAGAAGGAAAACTTAAATTATTTCTTGATTAATTAACATTCTTTAAATAAAGAAGGAAACTAAAAGAAAACTTCTTAATTAGTCTTGGATGCTCCTGCATCACATAACCTTCGAGTCAAGTGGGTGGTGAAAGAGGGTTGAAACAAATATTTTAAACAACCCTAGTTGCTACTATACTATTGCATTATTGGTCGGCATCCATATACTTAAGGGGAGAAATGTGAAAAAATGAAAATTGTAAAAGTTACGTTTAACACTGTCGTTAACTTTTCATTCTCTTGGGTGGGGCGTGGTTGAGTGGATCATTGTATTTTCAACAGGATGCTTTCTCTCTGTGTCCTAGGCTCTAATACTTTTCTCTTTTACTTGGTGAAATTTCTGGTTGCCAAAATTCTACACTTACTTTGTCAAATGAACAATTAATAGCTAATATTATTATACATTGTTATTATTGTTGCTGTTGTTTTGCTATTATTTATTTATTTATGACCCATGAACGTCTTGGATTTGCTTTCTTCTATCAGCAAGTTTCTAGAGTCTACAAAGATGAACTTGAGTTGGAAACCTATATAAGCTCAGATCTCTATGGTGGCTGCAATAGAGTCAAGTAAGTCACATTTCTTGGTATTGAAAAGGAGAAGTTCTTTTGTTGTGTTCCTGAATGATGATGTTGATCAATTTTCAGCTAATTGAGGAATTTTGAACAGCCAACTGCAAAAAGGAACCTTGATGAAACTTTTAAGAACCTAAAAAGAACCAAGCTGCTTGTTAACTTGCGAACAACTTGACTTTGAGTTGCTAAAAGTTTGTTCATATAGTAAAAGTAAGTTTGGTAATTACTAAACTTACTTCATTACTTAACAAATTGGAAAACCCTTTCCTGATGCTTTTCTCAAATTAATTTTCCATGGTTGAGAAACATATGAGATTGATATATCGCATAATTGCGTCTAGCTTGCTTGTAGAGGATGGGAGACAAATGAACAAAAGAAGGAAAAATTAAAGATGATTCAAAAAAATTGAAGACATGAAACTAAGCACAGAAGCAAATAAATGAGACATGAAAATTCAGGCTACTGCATTTTTTCATTTTCAAAAGCAAACGTTTGTTAGTCGGAAGATAAAAGGCTACAATGCCAATCAAGGTAGGAAGTTTTGTTCTAAACTTACATAATAGGAATATGATTCTACAATGATGAGTTCTAGCAAAATCTTCCTACTCTAGAATTGCTGACATTGGACTGAGAATGTCTTTTTTGGTTTAACCTAGCAGCACGCTACTATGATTTTTGTTGCATGGTTGAGTTGAGTGTCATAATGGGCCACATGGCTGATTGAAGCATGGCCAACTGAAACCACACTCGCTCGCAGCTTTGCTATTGAAGAAGATGGCCTTATGCTGGTCAATTAAGCAGCCATTTTGGCATGCATGATCGAACACATGCCAAAATTGATGCTTTCAGCGAAATGTGATGGTACCTCATAGGACAATATCCATCTGTGGAACATCTTGAACTTAATGACGATTAAGTCATATTAAGCCATGAAGTCTATCAACCTATGAACTCAATGGTTTTATACTTTTTGCTTTAATAGCCACTACATTATTTTAGTGGTTGCTCACTTGCACTTCTCTTTTGATCAAGGTCATACTCCGCTGTGCATGCACCGTCCTTATTCTTGAGGTTGCACAGTTAATATTTAATATAAGTCATAAGTCATTGAACATTTTTAAAATAAATTCTTTGTGCATAATATTGATTATGACATGCATCAACCACAGTAACCAAAGGACCACAAAGCAACAACCACAAATTTTTAACTTGGGTTATTGTGATCCAGGAATGGTTATTTTCGGCTGTACACTCTTCATGGAAAGTCATTAGAACACTCAAATTGTTTGAATTGGAGTATTGAATATTTACTTATATGGTAATCTTCCTATTTCAGGAACCATAAGTTCAAATAAAGACGAATATTTCGTATGATACTTTGGTACTGTTGCATGGATTAGATATATGTTATGGATTGGAAATTGATGAAAATTGTCTAGCCTTACATAATTTGTTAATCTTGTGGATAGTGGCGGACCCAGCCCAAAGAGTTTGGATGCGGCCAATACCTAATTTTGCATTATGAGGGAAGCCAAACTAAAATATTTTATTTTTCCAATTCTTTACAAAACATTTAAAATATTTTTTTATTTTTTTATTTTTTTTGTAACGGCCCCCTGTTGGGCCCTATGTGCTTCTGCCCCTACTTGTGGATAACCTGTGTCCTTTGCAATAAGGAACGCCACCTAAGCTTCTGCTAGCTTCAGTTTAGCTGAAGTTTGATCTAAATGTAAACGAACCAAGCTTGAAATTTGTAACGCTTGAATTGATTTGAAAACAGTTATATCTCCTATTTGAGTTCTGAGGTCAACTGCCTCGGGAATTTGAAAAAAACTTAGTTTCTGTTTTCATATTCAAATGAAGACCATCATCTTCACCCTAGTAATTCTATTCCTGTTATTTCTTGATTCTACTTCTCTTAGCATAACCCAGAATGATTTGTGTTATGTGCAGCTTACAAGGCTGACAATTGATGCTAGATTTTGGGAGCAAAATAACAGAAATAAAGCAGTTGATGTGTGCAGAATAGTTAAGAGTTAAGACAATGTGAACAGCCTAAACTTCCTTTTGGCATCAAACCCAAGTTTCCAAAGGCATTATGCCTAAAATGGAACTGCACCACAAAACTCAAAAGAGCTAAATTGCTATAATTTCATCAACTTGGAAAACTGAATGATAAACATTACTGGAAATGTATCTAGAGACCCAAAATAATCTGAAAGGTTAAACTTGTCCTAATCCTCAAAGGATGTGGACTTCTAAGGTTAAACTAACACTACTATCCTAGGAAAGAAGGACTCCAATTAAGACTTCAATATTTTGACTGGCTTTCCAGCAAAGTAAAAATTACACCCTTGAGACTAAGTATTGAACTAACAGCTAATTTACTTTAACGGACATATAAATATGTCCTTAGAACAACTAGAAAGTATACTATAATATCTCAAATACATCCTATATATTATCTAGACCATAATTATGAGTTTCTTGAGTCTCTGAACTTATTCTTCTTAATTTTCTTGTCCATCTGCGTCTGTAGGTTATATTTATTGGTTCTGCTTCCCCCCCACATGGTTTCCCTTGTGCTGCAAAATTGATGCATGTTTTAAATGTGGTTTATCATATGTGAGCACTTTAGAACGTCGCACTGTTTCTAATAGTTTTTTTCCTGTGCATGTAATATCAGTATGCTGCACAAGGTTTTATAATTTTCTAGAATGATGTAAAACAAGCGCAGGATTTTTTGTAGAGTAATTATGCTGTTGGATGATGTAAGCCTTCATTCGTGTCTCTATCTTACAGAAGTCGCATGTAGCTGCTTACTAGAAATATGAACAACTTTTTTTTTCATTATTGGTATTAGAATCTATTGAATTTCATGAGATCTGGAAACTTTGTTTTTAGGACACAACATTGATAAACTTAATGGATCTTTGTTCTTTTTGTTTAGGAATTGTTCAAATCCAAAAATCAAAGGAGCTGTTGTATTTCATGATCAAGGACCTCAATTATTTGATTATAGCATACGTCTTAATCACACATGGGCATTCTCAGGGTTTCCTGATGTTAAAACCATCATGGACGTAAATGGCCCTTACCTAAATGACTTGGAATTGGGTGTTAGTCCTATACCAACAATGCAATACAGCTTCAGCGGATTTTTCACTGTATGATTTCCTAGTTTTTGCCACATCATTCTGTTTCTTATTTCATATTTTATTTGGCTTATGAAGCAATTTCTGCTTATATATAAGTGTGCATATGCGTTAGATGGTTGTAGTGCTCCTTGAATTCAGTTCCTCAAACTTTCAGGTTTAAATATTTTCAATTAAGACTTGCTAAATTCTTGTGCTCATCAGTTATTTTAAATTATCTGATTTGATCTCTCTATCTGTCTCTCTCTCTCTCTCTCTCTCTCTCTCATCTTTTGTGATTGAATTTCTGGTGGAATTTTTTGCATCAGAATCAATGGCGAGACCAAAATTTAGTTGTTGCTACTTTTAAAATGGTAGCCATGTTCTAAAAATACTTTCTTGTTGATGATGTGGCCATTAGTATTTATATTTTTAATTCAATTATCACCCCATTATGCTCAGATGGGAATTAGATTTGAGTTTACTATTGAGTTTAATGCAATATGTAATGCTTTCACTTTCTGCAGCTTCAGCAGGCAATGGATTCATTCATAATATTTTCTGCTCAGCAAACCGAGACTAAAACTGCTAGTGAATTTATAGAGCTTCCATCTTCTAATTCACCTGCTACCCCTTCATTACTCAAGCTGCCATGGAAGCAATTTAGCCCTTCAAAAATTAGAATTGCTCCCTTTCCAACACGTGAATACATTGACGATGAGTTCCAGTCCATCATTAAGAGTGTCATGGGAGTATTGTATGTATTTGTTTTTTCCCTCAAATGTTTCAGTTTTGTCTTACTGTACTTGCTGCTACATTTTTTTTCCTTGTGACAAATTCCTTTGGTTTACTTATCTCTGAGCAGGTACCTGTTGGGATTTCTCTACCCAATCTCTCGCCTTATCAGCTACTCTGTGTTCGAGAAGGTTTGGTAATGACTGATTGTTGGCATAAACCTTAATATGGAATATGTGCACCTTTCTTATATCTGCTTGCAAATTCTTTCCCCTGATCCCTTGTTTGATGTTTTAAATCGTATAATGCATTACCCTGTGCTATTTTTTCAAAGCTCTCATCTCAAGTTCTTGATATTGCAGGAACAAAAGATAAGAGAAGGTCTCTACATGATGGGCTTGAAAGATGGAATATTTCATCTCTCTTGGTTTATTGCATACGCTTTGCAGGTGAATCTTCCATTTTGTCTTTGGATTAAATAACCAATATTCCTTCCTCTCTTGTCTTGCATTTCTCAAAGCGATTTTTGGATGATGATTTAGGGACGGGTAATATTTCTATATGTGCATGATGTCCGCACACATATATATGAGCTTTTGTACTTATATGCGTGCTATGTGCATGTGTGCATGTGCATTTGCATATCTGGTGTCTGAGTTGAAAGGCTCGGTTATGCTTGGATTCCCTTATGAATAACTCTTTGAGGTGCTAATTTTCAAATCCTTGATCCAAACCCAGAAAATATAACCTGCCAAAGTGAATTTTTTTTAAAAAAAAATCCTCTTTTTAAAAATTTGAATGCAACTTTTGAATCAAATATTAACCAGTCCTCAACAAAGTTTGCAGAAAGTTAGCTTTATGCGTTGGTGGTGACAACATGTGTTTTTCATATTGGTTGAGGTAATTATGGCAAATGCTACTAGAGGCAGCGACACTGATGGAGAAATCTGTGGTACGGCTGTGCATCAGTAGTGTTGTTGTAGAGGGTAGAGGTAGATCTTCTGCTGGTGGTGTGGTGGAGGCAGTATTAGTGGTGATGGTTTATATTGTATCCTGGTCCTATTACAATCAAGCTATTATAATCAATTAATCATTTACTTATCAGGAAATATGATTTATTTGCGGTGTTTTAAACCCATTAAGGGATTTGAATGCGTATCAATCAAAATAAATTATTTGAAATAGCACAATAAACTGAATGAGGATAAGGTGACTATCAATCTATCATGTTCCTTTCCAGCTTGGTATGCTGAAGTATATTTTTATATCTGATATCTTGCGTCTAACTGGAGGTGCAGGATGCTGACAAAGAACCTTTCCTAAAGCCAATACACCATATACACCTCCTTCAAAAGGAGGGGTGAATTACTACACCCTACCTGCAGTTTGCCATTATATATTCTGGTCCACAGTGTAAATGCTTAAACAATCAGACCGAAATTGGAAATCATGAAACAGCTGGGACCAAATTGCATATTATAGCAAAATTCAGGGTAAAACCTACTGATTTTTCCCAAAAGAGACTAATCAGCGAATTGTACTACGTTTCAGCGGTTACCCTTGTTTCTTGGCTCGGTTGCCTGGAATTCAGGCCTACTTCTTTGTTTGCCATCAAAAATAGGGGATGGATTGATAGTCCATAATTAACTGTGGTCTTTTCTTTTCTTTTTCCTTTCTCTGTTTTTTGAATCAACTGTTTATAGTTTTCTGGTTGAATCTTCTGCAGTTTGCAATTTCGTCTGGGATTATTACAGCTTGCACTATGAATAACCTCTTCAAATATAGCGATAAGTCAGTGGTGTTTATGTATTTTTTCTCCTTTGGACTCAGTGCAATCACGCTATCATTTTTGATCTCTACATTCTTCACTCGAGCAAAAACAGCTGTTGCAGTTGGAACCCTTTCTTTTCTTGGGGCCTTCTTTCCCTATTATACGGTTAATGACCCAGCTACCCCAATGTAAGTGTTTCTGCTATGAACAATTTATTCTGGTAGTGTTTCTCTGCAACTGATCATATCTGGACTGTAGATGAACTTTATCTTACCATTTTGTTCACATAGGATATTGAAGGTCCTTGCTTCTTTGCTTTCACCTACGGCTTTTGCTTTGGGATCTGTCAACTTTGCTGATTATGAGCGTGCTCATGTTGGGCTTCGGTGGAGTAACATATGGCGAGTATGTGCTTCACTTGGATTTTTGATCTTCTTCTGCTTTCTCTCTCTCTCTCTCTCTCTCTCCTTGCCATTAATGCTTTTGTTTCTTGATAAAAAATCTAGTCCAACATTGTTGTAGGGATCATCTGGGGTGAATTTTTTGGTCTGTCTTTTGATGATGTGGCTTGACTTGCTTTTATACTGTGCTGTTGGTCTGTACCTTGACAAGGTATATCTCTTGAACTATTATACTCTTTTCTTTTGTGGATATTAAAATTCACTCAAGTTTCTGGTAGCTTAAATTGTTAGTGAGTTGCGTTGTTGGCTATACTATGGGAATATATTATTTCCTATTTTATTTGCTAGTTGAACAAAATTATGAGCATCTGCTCGGAGATGTCTTATATCTTCACTTGTGTGGAAAACTATTGCTATTTCCTTGATGCTGTAACTTGGAAAGGATAGTACTCTTACAAAGGCTTCTTCTTCTTCTTTTTTTACAATTTCTTAAGGCCCAAAATGACAGCTTCGCCACTAAACCCTTTTTTTTTTTTTTTTTTTTTTTTTGCGTGGAGATTAAACATTTCTTTTATTGCTGAGTATGTTGCTTCACTTGGATTTAACTTCTTCTGCTTTCTCTAGCTCTCTTCTCCACTTCTCTCTCTCTGTTCTCATTATGCCTTTTGTTTCTTATACAAAGAAATCTAGCCCAACATTTTCGTCAGTGCCAATCATCATCTGGGGTGGCAATTTTTGCGGTCTGTCTTTTTGATGATGTGCTCTGATCTTGCATTTTAAACTGTTGGGGCTGTTGTCTGCTAGCCTTGACGAAGGTTATATCTTTCTTGAACTATTGATACTCTTTTCTTTTGGTGGATATTAAAAAATTCACTACCCACCACTTAGTCTATGCAGTCTTAAAATAATGTGTTAAGTGTGAACTTCGCATTGTCTGGCAACGTATTTAATTTAATGGAGGAGTCAATATTTCCTAATTATTTATTGTCTATATGTTGAACGAAAATGTATGAGCCAATCGCTGGAGATGTCTTATTATCTTCACTTGTGTGGAGGAAAGATACCTATTTGCTATTTCCTATTGATGTCACTCTAACCTTGGATATACGGGATAGTACTCTTACAAAGTGCTCTTCTTCTATCTTTATTTACAACCTTAAGGCCCAACAAATGACAGCTCGCACTAAACCCTTTTTTTTTTTTTTTTTCTTTTTTCTCTGTTAGGACTCCTACAGTATCTTCTATTCTAGTACGCGTTTACTTTTTATTTAAGTAATGCTGAATATTGAACATATACTTTATAAGACTAATAATTTTTTATCATCTCTTAGAATCTCTACATGAATTTGAGATACAATGTCGTACCGCGTCAGTCTGATTTAGAGTTTTTTTTTTTTTTTTTTTTTTTTCTGGTTAGACTCCTACATGTATCTTCTATTTAGTACGCTTTACTTTTTATTTAGTAATGCTGAAATGACAGATACTTTAAAGCTAAAATTTTTATCATTTAGAATCACTGACGTTGACAAGTGGACCGCGTCATTCTGATTTAAGCCAATACTGTATCACAGTTTCCATTTTTGTTACGGTTAATATTTCTGTTAATTAAAACCCTTAGGTTCATATTATAAATCATGGGACTAGCCTTCTTGCAATGCAATAGGAGGGTTCTTTGTATTTGATCCTGTTCTGAGCTCACAATATGAAAAGCCTTGTGGCCAAATATCCTTTCATATAGAGGTTAACGTATTCTGTCTGACTTGGAATGGACTATGGCTGCTATTCTCGTAAGTAATTGTTACAAGTGAATCAGCTTTCCTGAATTATGAGGTGTTATCTTAATATGTAGGTGTTATCATAATATGTAGTTATCTCACTTATACAAAAGATGGGAAGAATTTTCATATTCTACTTTTCCAGAAAAAGCACTCAGGATATGCCATATTTAGTCTGCCTTTTCTATGCAGTTTGTACTTTTGCAAAACTTAGTGATCTTTCTTAATATGATCAGGTCCTTCCCAGGGAAAATGGAGTTCGGCACCCTTGGAACTTTATATTCAAGAACTGCTTCTGGAGAAAGAAAGGAATTGTCAGACATCATGTTTCCAATTCGGAAGTTAAACTTAATGATAAGCTTTCTTTGGGAAATGACACTGTTGAACCTGCTATTGAGGCGATAAGCTTGGACATGAAGCAACAAGAACTTGATAACAGGTATTTGTTCTAAAATTTCTAGGTCTATCTTGCACCTTTTAATATTTTTTCTATTTAGTTTTTTTGTTTGATTTGTAGATGCATCCAGATTAGGAACCTGCATAAGGTATACGCTAGTAAAAGGGGGAGTTGTGCCGCTGTTAATTCACTGCAGCTTACCTTGTATGAAAATCAGACTCTTGCTCTTCTGGGTAAGTTCTTCACTTTACTTTATTCGACTTCATTTCTAATTCATGCTTGGTTTTCATCCTGTTATTTCTGACTAGAGTTACATGCCTTACATCAAAGATTTCCCCCCATTTGTTTCTTCTCGTAATCAGTTGCTTTCCTTTTAGTCAATAATGCATTTACTTGCAATCTGTATGTTGAATTTAAAATTTTAGAGGGATTTCTGAATCAGGTGCAGGGTTTCAAAATAATGGATGCAATGTCCTGTACGACTGGTTGGGATAATAGTGGTTTGGTGAACTGAACGTGAAACACTTTTGCTAGTGTTGGTTAACTTGCTTTACTGGTTTTGACTGTTTTGGTTGAGTTAGGTTGTCAATTTTAATTTAATGATCCAAATCTAAATTAAATTTCATTAATAAATTGAAACCACTAGTTAATGGTAACTCTTTTGGCAGAATTTTACTTCTCTTTTCTAGAGTCTTCAAAGATTGGAGTAGGGCAGAATCACAAGTTGGACCAAAATTTAGAAATTTTGTGATCATTAATCCTTTCTTTTTCTTTTAATTTGTTCTATTTTTTTTAATTAACTCTCAGTTACCTTTTATATCCTTAAACGACAAAATTAGAGATTTTGTGATCATTAACCCTTTCTTTTTCTTTTAGTTTGTTCTATTTTGTTTTTAATCAACTCTTAGTTACCTTTTATATTCTTAAACGACAAAGGAGCACATTTGTCTAAGAAACTTTTTTTTTTTGTTTTTTTTTTCATTTACATTATTTTAGAATTAAGTTTTTACATTTAACGATTTGCTTCTTTTCAAACTTTGAAATGTAGGCTTAACTGTCAAATTTTTTCCACTAAAAAAATGTCACTGTCATTAATCAATTATGTCTAGATGATAATAATTTATCTTATCTATTTAATTATATGCTAAACTATAAATTCAGGATATCTTGCCTGCTGTTAAAAGTGCAGGCATGCTGTACAATCCAATAGTGTACCACCATGGTTATTACCAGTATTTATAGCCCTGATGAGGTTTACTTGCATTTGTGAGTCTGTTGATAACCAATTCTTGATTGACAAACTTATGAATTTTAAATGTGTTTTGTCTACCTCGTATTGAGCATTCTCTCTTAATTAATAGATATTGCTCCACAGTAATAATATTAATTTAATAATATTAATAATATTCTTCTCATTCTTGTGCACGATACTTGAACAAACATTTTTCTTTTGTTAGCAGTTTTTACTTTCACCAATTGGTAATTCTTACTTAGAAATATCTGTGTAGCTTAGAGTGTTTAAGCTACTTGGCCATTTCACTAGTTAACATGAATACTGACCTTAAGTAATGTGGATGAAGTTGAGTAATTTGGAAAAGAATATATGAGGAAGCTGTGGCTTTTTCTAAATGCTTATCAGCTTATGCTCTTTTATACACACGCAGGTGCATATGTTAGGTATTGTAGCTTTCCACATGAAAACTTAAAAAAATTCTCTTCATGTCTTTTTTTGAAGGAAAATTATGTTGTTATACTGATGTAATGTTGTTGTGTTCAAGGACATAATGGGGCGGGAAAAAGCACAACTATTTCAATGCTTGTTGGTCTTATTCCTCCCACTTCAGGGGATGCTTTGGTTTTCGGAAAGAATATACTGACGGACATGGTTAGTAATTTCTTATGAAACTAGGTCCTCTTCCTTTTTAGTTTTGACCCGTTTTGCAAATGGTCCAACATCCATGTTATAAATACACTTAAGGCAGTTTCTGTCTTTCAATTGCTTTTTGCTGTTGAAGCTCCTTGATTGTTTGCATGAATTGTTTTATGGTTGTAATCCACTTTCACTTTGTTAAGGGTTCTCATTCAATATGGTTCCTTAATGTGTATTTTGATCTGTTTATTTATCATCATTGTTTACATATAATTGTTTATCATGCATTTTGCCTCTTGGACTTTGTGTACCGTCTTCTACTTATTCAAAAAATATAATTTGCTTGCTGAGGTGTTGAGGTTGTGTCAAATGGATTGTGTTTGGTTGGAAGCTCTCTTTATTTGATATGCCTTTCCCTCATCTGTGTCAGAGGTTTTATGTTTTGGAGCTTAGGATGTAAATATGTGAACTTTTAAGCATTTTTTATATTTTTTTTGACATTTTTTTTATTTTGTGGAATTTTTTTTGTTTCTAATCTCCTCATCAATTTTGTTTCTTTTTAGGATGAGATACGTAATGGACTGGGTGTATGCCCTCAACATGATATTCTTTTTCCAGAACTGACCGTAAGTACAATGCATGCCTATTTTCTAACTTGCATCTAGCCATATAGATTATGTTTATGTTCTTCAAAATGCTGAGCAGCAGTGGCTTAAAAGCTAATGGAGATGATACAAGATGAAATTTGGGATTGTCCACTTCATTGGATTAAGCTAATGCTAATGGTTTTATAACACGTTCTAATTTAGCCTGAAAACCATCCATTTATATTAGTGACTGTCTGAATCTGACATGCTTTTGAGTGAATTGTTATGGTGCTGGAGTTGTAATTACACTGGTTTTAATGTGTGTCCTTGGATTAATTTCAAATTCACTGGTTTTGAAGTTAAATGCTGTGGTATCATAAATTACATTGCAATCTAAAGGTTGAACTCAATGGAAGCAGTGCCAGTTTTTTTTGTAAGCATTTTATGCCCTTGAAGCATTGCAGGTGAAAGCTATGGTTTGTTTTGGTGTCCCCTTCAGTCCTGTGCTGGATTGTTATCATAGCAAGTATAGTATCTTCACGAGTGCTTGGTGCTTTGGCGGAGAGTTTAGTTGAGAATGTCTTTACTTGCTGATGAAAGGAAAAACTTAATTTTTGGGGAGGAGAGAGAAGAGAGGCCAGGAGGCACAGAAAGAGATGGAAAAGTTCTGGATGTCCTTGTTTGGGTGTTTATTGTTACTTGTTATATCAAATCTTCTATGATGGATTTCTGAGAACTTTATTGAATAAACTCTCCCTGAACAATCCATTTGAGTTATTATTCCTTCTAGATGAACCTCTTTGCTGCATTTACATTCTTCATTACAAAAGTTTTATTCCTTGGAATGCTAATAAATCACCAGTTTATGTTTGTTTCATAGCTTAGGGTTTCCTACATATCATATTGGTTTGTTTGTAACATATACATTGAATGTCTCTTTCCTTCTAGTGATGCTGAAAATTGAATTTCTCTGATTTCTGGTGGCATTAACCACCCGGTTAATTACTCTGTCTAGGTGAGAGAGCATTTGGAAATGTTTGCTATGCTGAAGGGTGTGAAGGAAGAAATTTTGGAGACGGTTGTAACTGATATGGTTGATGAAGTGAGTTTCTCTGCGTAATTTGATATTGCATATATTATTACATATGCTTGATTACAAAATGCTTTGGCAAATTTGGCCCAGTTGATGTAACATACAAATTGTTGGGTTTGTATAGTCTGCAAGCTTTTATCACTTAAGAATTCATTTCAAACATTGAGATTGGTAGTGTAACATATTTGGGCTTCTATTAAGTTGTATTATGTAAATGACTTTCTTTTATATGCTTTGGAATTGCTCTGTTAGTAGTAGAAAATATATCAACTTGGTCTGGAAGATTTTGGACTATTCATGGGTTATTACTTCTCTAATTTTCATGGATTTCTTCATCTATTTTCCTCTCTTTTTTTTTTTTTTTTCCCCTCCTTCCCCTTCTTTCCATTTTCTTATCTTAGTTGCACGTGGTGTACTGCGCGGATTTTTTTTTAAATTTTTTTTATGGAGATGGGGTTCTCGTGGTTGTTATATGATGGCAGTTCCTTCTGTTATGCATGTCTTTTTTCGCAAAGTGCATTAATTGGATAAATATGAAGGAGTTCATTTACATTCAGAAATGTGAATAGTGATATAAATCCCAAAGATACTGAATCCATGATTATGAGTATCGTTATTAATCAAGTCAAGTAAATAGTGCAAAAAATAAAGGTGGAGAATACAAATATAAACCCATCATCATCATAAAGAGTGTCTAGAAGGGTCAAGTCTTGTGGTTGAGTTTGAGACTTTTGGTCTCTAAATATTGTGCCCACATTTACCCTTTTACTATGTGGTTGAAGCTAAAATTTCATATAGTATGATTTTTGAAGGATATAGGTTGAAGAAAATTTGAAAGGGATGGTTAAAAGAAGTGGGAGGAGATGAGAGAAATGGTTGTTGATCCTGGCTGAATAAGTTGTTATTGTTATATAATTGCTGTTCCGGTCGTTTCAACTTACAACAACATATAATTTTTGACTATTATGTTTAGCATATAATGAGTAGCAAACTCTCCTGTTGCATGATCATCTCAATTTTATTTCTTGTTCTTTTGTGGTCAATTTACTTTAATCATCATCATCATCATCTTTTTATTCTTCTTCTAATGACGATTCTTTGACAAGTTTGATATGGCTTCCCTTTACTTCCTCTTTGTATTATTTCTTTACTCTGTTGTGTTAAGAGATTGGGATTATGTATTTTTAGGTGGGTTTGGCTGATAAAGTTAACACTGTTGTGAGTGCTCTTTCTGGTGGCATGAAGAGGAAATTGTCTCTTGGAATTGCCCTTATTGGAAACAGCAAGGTGAGACAAAATTTGAGGCATTTTATTTTCAATGAAATTTGTCTTACTTATTTCTATCTATCTATCTATCTATCTATCTATCTATCACAGGTTATAATTCTGGATGAGCCCACTAGTGGAATGGATCCATATTCAATGCGGTTGATATGGCAGCTAATCAAAAAAATAAAGAAGGGAAGAATAATATTACTGACTACCCACTCAATGGATGAAGCTGATGAACTCGGAGATCGGATAGCTATCATGGCTAATGGATCTCTGAAATGCTGTGGAAGGTTAGGTCCTTTAAACCATCATCCTAGTCTGTTATTCACCAAGAGATCTTGCTTTTGGAAGTTACCAGGAAAGGAGTCAAATATCTGGTTTGAATATATACGTTTTCCAAAAAACTAATTTTGGATATGATAGCTTAAATTTTTCATGCAGTTTCATATATTCTCCCAAATAAATGGAGCCATGATCAATCTTTTGGCAAAGAAATATATTAGAAGTTTTCCCATTTGCTTAATTGTTTTGGGATTTTAATAAATTTTTATCATTAGGTTATGGTTTGCGTATATGACATTGAACATTTCATATACAGAATTCTAATTTGAAGGGTGGATTAATATCCTTTGGAAACTGCATTACCCACTGAATAAAGCTACTTTAGCCTATTGTTTGTGACTTCATGTTTCTGCATTGAACTGTGTTTTCAAGTATAAATTCTTTGCTACATTTTTTTTTTCTTTTTAATGTTAAAATTTACGTTGTAGTACTTGATCATCACCCATTGTCTTTTATTTTCAAAGTTTAAATGGGTATTTTAATTAAGCATGTCTGTCTTATTGTCTTGTTAACAAGCATTATATTTATCATGCAAATGATTGAATGAAATACGGAAATTGAGAACTCTAACTCAGTGTAACTTTTTCTTGAAGCAATCAAATGGCTGACATACTTTCTATGCTGGAAGGGGTTAAGACATTTAATTCTTAACTATCAACCATAATCTTTTTTTTTTTTCAAAGTTTAAATCAGAACTTTAATTAAGCATGTCTGTCTTCATGTCTTGTAAACAAGCATTATATTCATCATTCAAATAATTGAATGAAACATGGAATTTGAGATATCTATCTCAGTGTTACATTTGCTTGAAGTAATTCAAATGGCTAACATACTTTCTGTGCCACAAGTGGTTTAGAGAAAATGGAGAAGAATTTTGTTTTTTCATTAAATGTTATGAGGGAATGCTTTTTCCTTATGATGCTTTTAGTAAGTTGGCACATCAAAGAGAGCTCAGATTCCAAATGAACAAGTTCACTTGAAAAAAATACATAAGGAATATTGTTCAGAGGTTCTTAGATAAAGGGGGTGAGCTTTATGAAAGCAGTGATTGGACAGTTTGAGTTCTATCTCACTTTTGCTTTATCATTGGGGATTCAAGTTTAATGGAGGAGATTGTTTACTCTTTTACTGGCTAGATTAGATGTTACTGAAGGCAGGGACCTACATAGAAGAGATTGAAGTAAATGTATCATTATATTGGTGTTTTTGGCCATGAATTGTTCAATTATTTATAGAAGATAGTCCACTGAAGAGTCAAAACTTGTCTTAGATGAGGAATGAGTGACTAAAGCACTCAGCACAAATCTATCTTTTTTAGTAGCTATTTTTTTGACATACTGCAAATGATATAGATGTGGAGTTACTTGGAATTTTCTACTTTCATTGTTTGAATCACATGTTTAAATTTGAACATGCTCATTTATCTAAAAGTACAAAATATTGTTTGTTGTATGGTCAGTCTCCTTACAAAATAATTAGCATGTCATATCATTCATAGTTGAATACTTGTTTTTAACAGCTCCCTATTCTTGAAGCATCAGTACGGGGTTGGTTATACTCTTACTTTAGTGAAGGTTAGTCCTATTTGTGATGATTTAGCCGTACATCTTCTTGTATGTTCTTCTCTTTTTTATATAACTGGGAATGACCTTGTTTTTAACATTATGTTCTTTCAGTCTGCTCCTACTGCTTCTATGGCTGCTGATATTGTTTATCGTCATATTCCATCAGCAATATGTGTGAGTGAGGTATTCATCTAAATCTTTACACTCATCAATTTGGCATCTTTGTTGCATGTGTGATCTATGTATTTTTTGTTGTCAAAGCCAATGCCAAACACATTTATTGCTACTTAGAAAAAGGGTTCCTCATTTGTATTTACTATATTTTTGAAAAATTTTATCTTTATTTGTGTACACAAGAGAATGTCATAATGCATGGTATATTGGATTCCAAACTCAATTAATAATTCTTAACATTTTTTTTTGGATACGTTGTCGCTTTATTGGATATTGACATGATATGAGCTTAATCATAGATTGTCATTTATAATTTACAATTGCACTCTTGATCTTCCTTTTTAACTTTCATATGTGATACCAGGTTGGAACAGAGATTTCTTTTAAGCTTCCTCTGGCATCCTCCTCATCCTTTGAGAGTATGTTCAGAGAGATTGAAAGTTGCATGGGACTATCAGTCTCTAACTCCGGAACAAATAATAATGGGAACAAAAACTATCTTGGAATTGAAAGCTATGGCATCTCAGTCACAACCCTGGAGGAGGTATTTTTGAGAGTTGCAGGATGTGACTATGATGAGATTGATGGTTTCAAGCAAAGGAACAATATTCTCTCACCAAATCCTGTGGTCCCTACTGCTTCTCAAAGTCATACCTCGAAAAGAGTTTTAGATTCCAAACTTATGGGAAATTATAGAAATATTATTGGTGTCGTATCTTCCATAGTGGGGAAAGCCTGTGGTTTAATGTTTGCTACAGTTTTTAGTTTCATTAAGTTCTTAGCCATGCAGTGCTGTTGCTGTGATATTGTTTCAAGGTCAACATTTTGGCAACATATTAAGGCATTATTTATAAAAAGGGCAATATCTGCTCGGAGAGACCAGAAAACCATCGTTTTCCAGCTTCTAATTCCTGTTATCTTCTTGCTTTTTGGTCTCCTTTTTCTTGAGCTTAAGCCACATCCTGATCAGCAGTCCATTACCTTGACAACTTCACATTTTAATCCTCTTTTAAATGGAGGTGGTGGTGGTGGTCCAATCCCTTTTGATCTGTCAAAGCCCATTGCAGTGGAGGTCTGTTAATTATATTTATCTTCTTATGATTTGCTTTTTTGTCATGTTCTTGCCTTTGTAGTAGTTTAATATTATTGGCTATAAACTTACATTTTGAGAGCTTCAGACCCTTAAAACTTACATGCAGGTTGCAAAATATATTGAAGGGGGTTGGGTCCAGACCTTTAAAGAGAGTGCGTATAAATTTCCTGATTCGGAGAGGGCATTAGCTGATGCTATAAAAGCAGCAGGGCCAACATTGGGACCAATTTTACTTTCAATGAGTGAATTTTTAATGTCTAGCTTCAATGAATCCTATCAATCGAGGTATGTTAACATGAATGCTGAACTATTTCATTCTCTCAAGACCTTGCTTTCTTTAAACTTCATGTGGATATTACAGCTTCATTGTTTTTGTGCTTTTCTCAATCAATGTATTAGCAATTCCAGTTCTTCTTTTGCCCCTGCTAATAAGTTATAATTAGGTGGATTCCTTTTTTAGTGTTATATATTTTACTAGAAATAGAGGGAACTAAATAGCATAGAAGGAATCAAAGGAGTAGAAAAAAGCTTGTATTTAGCATATATTTCCTCTCATGAAGCTACACATGGTTTCAAATCATTGAATGGTTGTGTCCCTAAAGCAGTTTATTGCGGACATTTTTTCTAGTACCTTTTATTTTTTATTTTTCTGGGGCATTAAATTTGTAATCGGATGTAGAAATTAAAGGAAAAAATATTATTTTTTTTATTTCTTTCAATTGTGTTATTTTTTCAACCTCTACTCCACTATATATATACAAAAAATTGTTCCAGTATAGGAAGTAATCTAAATAGGAATAAGCCTAAACTAGGAAACACAATCTTTACACTAATTAGGAATAAACTTAAACTAGGAAATACAATATTTACTTTAATCGCAAAGATTTCAACACTCCCCCTCAAGTTGGTGCATAGATATTACTCGTGCCCAACTTGCAAACTAAAGGATGAAACGACTTGCTATGCAAACCCTTTGTGAAAACATCAGCTAGTTGCTCTTTTGAAGCTATGTAGGAGACACTTATAAAACCTTTAACTATCTTCTCTTTTATAAAGTACTTTTAATCGCAAAGATTTCAACACTCCCCCTTCAAGTTAGTGCATAGATTATTTACTCGTGGCCCAACTTGCAAACCTTAAAGGATGAAACGACTTGCCTATGCAAACCCTTTGTGAACATCAAGCTAGTTGCTCTTTTTGAGGCTATGTAGGAGACACTTTAAACCTTTAACTATTCTTCTCTTTTATAAAGTGACGATCAATCCTCTGATGTGCTTTAGTTCGATCTGCCTAGACTGGCTTATTCATATAACTGTATGGCTGCTTTACTATCACCAAAATAAGGATATATTTATGTTTTTTTTTTTTTTTTTTTGTTTTTTTTTTTTTTTTTTTTTTTATTTTCAACCAACTATAAACTCTTCACATTAATTGCGCAACCATAGTAGTTTTCAGATTCTCTGTGCCATAGCTCTATTATTCAGCTTCTTGCAGTTGGACATCTGCAAACAGCGCCTACTTCTTGCTTCTCCATTGTGACTAGGTTTCCTCCAATTAAAAACACAATAACAGCCTGAGGTTAATCTTCTTGTCATCAAGGGAAAGCCAGCCCCCAATCGCGCCATCTGTATAGCCTGTTATTGCTGAAATGCCATGTTAAAGAAAATAAAAGTATCATCAGCTACCTTGAAGCAGATTTTAAATATCTTAGAATCCGATCACTGCTTCTAAGTGAGACTCCTCGAGGCGTCATGCATGTACTGGACTCACTAAACTTACAAACATAGGCAATACTCTGTCTAGTATGGGCAAGGTAAGTATGGGCAAGGTAAATCAATCTCCCGACCAATCTCTGATGCCTGCCAACATCAACTGAACTTCCCACTCCAGCTTGAAGCTTATGATTAGCTTCAATAGGTGATTCTGCAGGTTTACATTCTATCATACCAGTTTCTTTAAGGAGATCAAGATGTACTTTGTTTGAGAAATAAAAATCCCTTTTTCTGACCTAGGAACTTCTATCCCAAGGAAATATCTTAACTTTCCCAAATCCTTAATCTCAAACTCCCTAGCTAACAAATTTCTCAAGTGAGCCATTTCTTTTTCATTATTTCCAGTCATCACTATATCATCAACATAAATAATAAGCAATGCGATCTTATCTTCATGATGTTTAATGAACAAAATATGATTAGCATCGCTCTGACTATACCCAAAAGAAAGCATAGCTTTACTAAACCTTTCGAACCGTGCTCTCGGTGATTGTTTTAGCCCATATAATGACTTCTTCAGCTGACAAACTTTTCCTCTGGTTTTGTCATCGTCAAATCCAGGAGGAATCCCCATATACACCTCTTCTTTCAAATCACCATGTAGAAAAGCATTTTTAACATCAAATTGATGTAACTCCCAGTCAAGATTGATTGCACGAGACAACAAAATTCTGATTGTGTTCATCTTGGCTATAGGGGCAAATGTTTCCTGATAATCAACTCCATAGGTCTGACTGAATACTCTGGGTACTAATCTAGCCTTGTACCTCTCAATTGAACCATCTGCCCTATGTTTAACTATGAACACCCATTTACATCCAACTGGCTTCTTTCTTGGTGGAGGGGTGGAGGTAGTTACAAGGAAATCCCCATGTCTCATTTTTTTGCCAAAAGCTCTCATCTCCTCAACCATTGCGCCTTTCCATTTTGAGTCCTGTTATTGCCTGTTGCCATTCCTGCGGGTTTTAGGAAAGAACAGAAGAAAAACATACAAAACACTAGGGTCATATAGGAAGGGAACAAGCATTACTTAGGAGATAAAATGGGAGATGGAATGTTTATGATGTTCTAACTCTTTTCTAAGAGGCAATAGGAAGCAATAGGAATATCAAGGTCATTGTCAGAAGGACTGAAATCAAGACTAGAATGTTTAGTGCATGAACTTTCTGTTGCAATTCATACCTCTGAGCTTAGTTTCTAGTTTGTGAATACGTCTGTGAAGCAGCATCCCATATCTTCTTAGCTGTATTAAGAAGCAAATATCCTCAGGAAATAGTTGGCTGCACGGAATTTATTAACCAAGTCATAATAAGAGAATTCTCGGATTTCCACTTGTTAAAGGTCGGATCTGTCGAAACTGGTTTAGTTGCTCCACCATCAAGGTATCCCTGCAAACCTCTAGCCTCTTATGCTCAAATGAAAATAAAAAGACCGAGCGGAAAAACCAAGCCCAAGTATTTAATTCCATCTAACTCACCGGATTAATATGAAGTGAGGGGTTCCTCTGAGTGAAAACCAATATGCTTACTTTCTTTCGTCAACCATAATTTCTTTAAAAAAAAAAATTTAAACGCGCAGCAGTGGTAAAAGAAAAAAGGCAACAGTTGGTAAAAAGACACAGACAATGATGGAAAGGGAAAAAAAATTCCAAAAGGCAAACTGGCGATAAAGAACCAGTCATCGGTCCTGAGCGTGCCACCACCAAGTGAGGGTCGCCGGAACAAGAATCGTAGACGCGAGCTCGCCGGAACCAGCCGCACGCGCTGGCGCATGAAGAACAGTCAGAATCTTTTTAGGCGGCTCGCGAATGTCGTGTGGCACACGTGGCGCTGGGATGGACGGCGAGTGGTATCTAGACGGGAGTGCCGATCGGCGGTTTCTTCCTTCTGAGACGGGCCGGGGATGACCAACTCCCACTTCTGGTGTGCTGTGTGGTATCTTAGACCACTTTGCCCAACGTGGAAAACCATTGGCCGGAAAAAAAAAAAAAAAAAAAATTTTTTTTTTTATTTCCCACAAAAAAGCGAAATTTTTAAAGGGCCCTTTTTCTGATTTTAACCCCCCCATTTTTTTTAAAAAGGGGGGAAAATTTAAAAAAAGGGGGGAAAAAAAACATATGTTTTTATTTCCTTTCAATTATGTCTATTATTTTAAAACACTCTACTCCCACGTATATATAATATATACAAAATAATTGTTCCAACTATAGGAAGTAATCTAAATTAGGAATAAATCTAAAACTTAGGAAACACAATCTTTACATTAATTAGGATAAACCTTTAAAGTAGGAAACAAATTATTTACTTTAATCACAAAAAATTCAACATCGGATATATTCTTAAATATTTGTCTTTTTACAATTGCCTTTCGAGTAACAATCCACTCTTTTGATTGCGTGCCACTATGTTATGACGTAGAAGTGTGTCAAAAGAATTTTGGAAATCTAAAGGGGAAGATTAGATGAAACTTTTATGAATTTGGATATGTAAACAAGGTTAAAGCATCTTACTAGATATTGATGTTATTATGAAAACACTTGCATTGATGTTGTTATAAAGAACGCATGGATCATAGGCCGCAAGGCTAGGGCGTGGGTATATTTACCGAAAGACTAATGGTTAAGATGGCAATAAATGATTTTTTGCTTCTCTTTCTTTTGTCATTTTTTTTGTTTGGACTTGTAGAGCAACAAAAACAATAGAAATGAAAAAATGGCTCCTCATCCCTTTTAATTCTCTAATTAATTTTTTTTGTTAAACAAAAGAAAGTCAAAGAATTAAATATTAGGGCTAAAAAAAAAAAAATAGAGATGCACTAGGGAGGATTGATTAATTCCTGATTGTTTTTTCTCTTTTCCCCCCAATTTCACCTCAAAATTTCATTTGTACTATTCAACTTAGGTAAGCTAAATCCCAAAACTATGTGGGAGTCGGCTATATCATTATTCACGTCTTTCATGTCCACTCGGTAAATGATGCATCTTTAGAAAATTCTAGTTGTCATTTTTCTGCTCTTTCCCTTATCATCTTAAATCCTATCCTTTGGCCTTGCTGACATCGTAAACATTCTTTTTATTGGTGCATTTCCTAAGATGCACGTTTTCGAACCAAAAATCTCAATCTTCATTTTCTCAAACTTTTTTTTAATAGGCTCTACTTCCACTTTTCATATGAATTGCATCTCAGCCCTTATTGGGTCCATCCTTATGTTCTTTGCCATATCTATCTAATCATTCCTTATTGCCTCACATAATCTTGTGAATTGTATTGTTTCTTCACTTCCAATTGAGTTGTTATTTTCCTTATTTTTATAGAGAAACTTCATAAATACAAATGTTATGTATAATATGCTTGTTTCAATGGTTTGTTGCTCCTAGGATGGGAGAACACTGATATTGATATCACTTGTTAAGTAGTTGCTGAATTCTGCATGTTTGTACTTTTTCCCCAAGAGGAGCAGCGAACCCACTCCATTGTTGGTGTGTGAACTTGTTAATCAAGATATAAAGGTTTTTTGTTCCATTTTAATGTAAAATCCTGTGCCAGATATGCGAGCAATTATAATGGATTGATCAGCAATGATATGGAAGTTTGGGATATACAGTTCTTTACATAATAGCTCTTGCCAGCATGCTGCTCCTTACTTTATTCGAAACATAATGAATGCTAGGCAATCCTTAGCT